GCCCGCCCGGTGTTTGAGAGGTCACGGGTTCGATTCCTGTCGGGGACTCAGAATTTTCTTTGTCCCACGCTCGTGTCATGTTGATTAATTCACCTTCACAAACGTGTTTTTCTTTCTTCTTGCCTCTCCTACCTGTTCACAACCTCTACAACATGTACACTTTTTTCTACATTTCTCATTTTCTAAATTCTCAAAACTTTCCGCCATTTAAAAAAAAAAACTGACGGATTGAAAATGTTTGTAATAATGAACATAGAACACAGAACACAGGTGAGAACCAAACAAACTGTGAGAATGTTTTGACTTACTATATATAATATAAAGTACCTTGTTACCGTCAATCTTCATGACCAGCGTCCATCCACCACTTCCACATGCTCCAAGGTCATCAGTCATATGGCAGTAGACCGACAATACATTTGATCCTACCTTTAGCGGGTAGGCCTTGTTGCCTTCAGACCTAATAAATGAGGAAGCATGAGTTCCAACGCTTCTTAAAACGTCTAAAATGACTACATGCAGAAATGAACTTTGAGAATGTAAGCTTTAAGCTTTTTTAAACGAAACTATTGCTACTTACAAGTTCTGGTCAGATAGGTCCTTACAGTTGGCCCGAGGTGCTGAAGAAATAAAGTATGCCCTAGTATAGTTATTCATTTTTTTCTTCTATAATGATTGGTTATGACTGTTTAGGATTATGTTTGACTAAGACGATGGCGACTAGTTTCAGGAAAAACTCCGACTAAAAAGAAAGTGACACGGAGTCTGAACAGAAGTGGTTTCGTCAGTACCAGTAAGTCCAGACTAAATAGGCAATTCACGATGGAACAATGTTTTCGGAAATGAGCGAACATTGATGACGAAAGAGACTCGAGTAAGGCGACAAAATGGCCTGCAAGCCGCTGCTAATGAAAGCTGACGTTTGCTGTTTGGAGGAAAAGGCACAGTAGAAAAATGTAGCGAAATACAGTAGCACTCACTCATTTCACAGTTTTTACCAACCCACAATCCTCTACAGATGCAAATGTAGTCGTCCGTTTCGTAAAGCGGCCGGCAGGTTCCGCCATTTTCACAAGGGAAGCTTTCACAAGGACTCTGTTCGTTAAAATAAGAGGAGCAGGTTTTCGTTACATATTCCAAAATAGAGTTTGCCTTAGGAGAGAATTGGAAAAACAGATATGCTTCTTAATAGGTGTACAAACTCAGTGACGTTGCCTTACTTAGGTAATGGTTAGTTTTAATTGTTTTGCTGATCGCTATTCACCTAGCTTCTTGCAGAGGAGAAAAATTTCCAGCGAGAGTTTACGTTCAAAGAAAAGCTAAGATATCGTGGGTAAAGTGTCATTCCACCTGTAGTAATACATTACCATAAGTAACACATCACCATTAGTGAAGCATCACCATCAGTAGCACATTACCAATTCAATGCAATTCTCCACCAAGAAATGCAGTAAAAAGAGGCTACGAGTCTTACTCTGATCTTATCCAATAGAATAAATCGTCTGTAACTTCAGGCTATGTTTTGCTGTGTACTAAAGGTTACGAAATTTGTAAACTTTGAAACAATGGTGGATAGTTTCCGAATTCAACGGGGAAAAAAAGGTTCATGAGCTTTAGGCTTTTCAATTGACGAGTTCTGCCTTTAACCACTCGATTTCTGCAAATAGTCGTGTCGTTTAAAATCCCCTGCCTTTCTTGCCTCTCTTTCCTGTAGCGGATACAAAAAAAAAAAAAAAAAAAAAANTTACAAAATAGAAAATGATTTGATATGGATTACAACTGACTAATGTACGAAATGTGATTGCAGAAGCAAATATACTTCGTAAAGAATTCGAGCGTTAACTAAGTGACAGTAGAAAGCTCATCGTAAAGCGCTTTTTGGCTGACGCATGACGCCTATTCGCTTGCGCACGAATTAAGCTTGAGTAAGGCTATTTACAGAACGGAATGAAAACATAAAGTAACTTACCACAATACTGTAGTGATGGAAAGAGTGGTTGGCTCTGAACCTTTCTGGTGCGCTGTATTTGTCTGTAGATAGCAGCACACACAATTGTTTTCCATCTGGTCGCGGAAATGCTGCAATGTTGGTGGAGAAACATTGGTAATTTTTTACACATCTGAGTAGGCACTTTCTTTCAGTTTCAACAATGGCCGCGTCAACGTTAGGAACATCTAGATCGTGAAATAAGTGATCTTTGAATACCGCGTAGGTTAGCGTTTTGTTTAAATCACGATGCAGACTGCCGGAGGCGCCAGAAACGCCTTGATCGAAAATATGGCAAAGAAAGTTAACTAATGTGCTAAACGACAACAGAACGAATCCATTCATGATGATCGAGGTATGTGGAGCGAGACTCCCCGAAATTGTGTTTTAAACAAGCGCATGCAGCAAAACTGCATGCCTTTCCTAAGTTGATTTTGGTGCGTTTCCTAGGTAAGTTTATACTTGCTGGCTTTCTACTGTAAAAAGCAAAATTAAAAAGTCTTTTCGTAGTCAATATGAAGTTATAACGTGATTGTAAGTTCACTAATCGAAATATGATTTCGTTCTTCGTTCTAATTACCTGTTTCGAAATAAATAATTTAGTTAACATTAAGTGGAGCCATGCATGAATTGTTTTGTCCTCATTTCAGTACTAGTCAGTATATATTCAGTTGTTTTTTCCAGAAAATTCATCTGCGTGAAGTGGGATCTAGCAAAAATAAACAAACTAAATTTAAACCATAACTGATAAGGAATTGAAAACTAAGAAAATCAAATCAAAGAAAGTCATTTTAAAGGCGATGAATCGTCAGTTACTAAAACTAGTTCTCATTCGGACCGTAAACGAACCCTTATAATTTGGAAAGGTTGAGATGGAATTCACCACAAGTTCGACGAACAAGTGGTTAAAGCCTTCGTACCGAGTTTATTAAGTTTGTATTGCAAACTGCTGTGCGACTGTTATCTTCTCAATAGCAATTATTTTCAACAACACCAACTGTCGAAGACAAAAATTCTCTGAACTTTGAAATTTAGTTCCTCGAGTTCCCAGGGGAAATCGTTTTTGGTGTTATTTGAGGCAATCGAACTATTTATATCTTTAGGTTTTAGAAAATGCAAAAAAGGACTGTAATATACTTAAAGTTATTCTGGCACAAGGCCAAGTACTGATAGATGAAAGTTCCAGAAAAAATGACACTAACTCTTAACATAATCCTTAAATTCCTCAACTGAAGTTATATTTATTTCTGTGTGATAGCAGCAGAGAAAATAAATATAAATGTTTACAAAGCGTTTTGATATCTAGTGTTTACCATTGTTTAATATTTCATTACGCAAATTGTAAACAAATCTTTTTCCCTATCAAAACACGACAGCATATTTCTCGTATATTTTGCTAGAAGTAATATCTACGCATGTTTGTGTCCGTTTCACTCTATAATTCATATTGTATTCTTTGTGTTAAATACATGTATATCGTTGGGGTAATATTGCATTGAATTGTAATGACACTGAAAGAAGTCGAACTTTCATTAACACGCCTTTGATCCGGAAGTATTCCTGCTAATTGTTATGGATATTCATTCCAGATCATTGAAGAACTACTAAATATTGCTCTATAGCGTCTTGTTTTTATATATTTACGCACGTTGACCGGGGAAAGTCACATTCGTCGCCAGCGTTTTGATTTGATCTGCCTTCTCGGGTACATCTGAAGAAAGTGACGGCGGCATATCATGCGAAGTTCGAAAGAAATTTAGGCCCCTTCTTCATGTATCCGGATATTTTTGAATCCGCAACTTTTACTTTCCGGATTCAAAAATTTCCCCGTCCACACGTAGCGTATTCAAATCGATTTCGTCTGTCCACAAGCATCCGATTGAATCCGGATTTACTTTAGAGAAACTAGGCCTACACGTTGTGTCCCTCTATTGGTTTATTTTTCGAGAAGAGGCTGGATGCGATTTTGCTACGTTATCGGATTCGAAAATATCCGGATTCACCGTCCACGCCTAATCGGATTCGTTGCGGATTTATTATTATTTTTTTTTCCTCTCTGGAGAGCGGATTCAAAAATATCCGGATTCGCTGCCGAATTCGCCGGATGCGTGAGGACGGAAACCGTATCCGGAAAGAAAAAGTTGCGGATTCAAAAATATCCGGATACGTGGGGACGGAGCCTTAGTTGAAATTTTTTTCTCATGCCTGGTAAATTTTTCTTTTCGATNATGCCGACGCGCGCGGTCAGGGAAGTGCGTGTTGCATAAATGAGGGTCGCACCGGGGTATTCTCGCGATTTGTGATCAGCTGATCTTATTTTCCATGAAACGTGAATTTAGGAAATTGTTCTTCGTGACTCGTGACCTGAAGGTTTTGTGTGACCCGGGAAGAACCTGAATTATTAACCGATATTCGTGATTCAAAAATATCCGGATTCGCTGCCGAATTCGCTGGATGTGTGAGGACGGAAACCGTATCCGGAAAGAAAAAGTTGCGGATTTAAAAATATCCGGATACGTGTGAACGGGGCCTTAGTTGAAATTTTTTTTCTCATGCCTGGTAAATTTTTCTTTTCGGTTGCAAATTCAAACTGATCTGAGGAGAAGAGTGAAAGAGTATATTTTATGGTGACGCTTAAGGAAAATGATCGGACTGACATTCAAACAATCTCGTGCTGTTGCCTTCACTCACACTGAAACACCCTGAGTTTCAGTCACGCAGCCGTGAACCACCATTACCCAAGTATAATAGCGGAGCTCCGGCGGCCCGAAATGCCGCCAAGCGGAGCCCCATACTCATATGGGAAAGAAAAGGAAACCCATCAGTTGATTTTCTCATGGTTA